TCTGGGGATGAAGACACTGGTGTTAGACATATGGGGGAATATTTAGCCACGTGAACACTGCTGCTGACATCTTGGATCATTAGCTGCAAGACCTGGCCCTACCCAACAGCCTGCAAATGATAGCGCTGGGACGCCTCAGGCCCAACAACTACCTGGGCAGGGACACAGCCCCACCCATCAGCAGACAGGCTGTCTAAAGACTAAAGACCCCGTAACCACCTCTGGGCTCTACCCCAGGCACAGCCCAGCCCACCAGAGGGCCAAGACCCAGCTCCACCCACCAGTAGACAGGCACCGGCCCCTCCCACCAGGAAGCCAGACTCTAGACCAGCCTCATCCACCAGGGGGCAGACACCAGAAGCAAGAAAACTACAATCCCACAGTGCAGGCCAGACCCTAGCCTAGGACCAGTTGGGCCCTGGCCCGGCCCACTAACAGGCCCAGGCAGCCTGTGGGACACCCCAGACCCCAGACCCAGCTGTATCAGGAACCGACCCCTCCCCACATTCCCCCTGCAACAAGCTGAAGTGAGCTCTGGATCCCTGGGCCCTGCAGCCAGACTCTAGGAACCAGCAGTCTGCACTAACCCCAGGATCTGGCTTCACCAGCTAGTGAGTGGGCGACAGCCCCAGACTCTTCGGGGCCCTGACTCTGCTCACCAGTGAGCTGGCACTAGCCCCTGGGCTCCCTAGGATTCTGCAACCAGCCACCTCGTGACCAGGCCCCACTAAACATCAGCCAGAAGCATCCACACAAGGCAGGGCCTGGCAGCCAACCAGGCCAGGGGCTTACCAGCCTGACCAGTTAGCCCGCTACAACAGAAGGACCCACGTAGCTCTCTTAGGGGGAACCCCCAGAGCATATAACTTGGGGAACGAAAGGGGAGTGCACTGCTGGGACGCAGAGGATGCCTCCTCCAGAGGGCCACTCCTCCAAGGTGGAGAAACGTAACTAACCTACCACATACATAAAAATACAGATAGAAATCTAGACAAAATGAGGCCTCAGAGGAATATGTTTCAGCCAAACGAACAAGATAAAACCTCAGAAGAACTAAGTGAAGTGGAGAGAAGCAGTCTACCAGAGAAAGAGTTCAGAGTGCTGGTCATAAAGATGATCAAGGAAAGTGGGAGGAGAATGGATACACAGAGCGAGAAGGTAGAAGTTTTGAATAAAGAGAAGATATAAAGAACAACCTAACAGAAATGAAGAATACAATAACTGAAATAAAAAATACTCTGGAAGGAATAAATAGTAGACTAAATGATTCAGAAGAATGGATCAGTGAGCAGGAAGACAGGGTGGTGGAAATCACTGCTGCAGAACAGAAAAAAGAATGAAAAGAAATGAGGACAGTATGAGACCTCTGGGACGACATCAAGTGCACTAATACTTGCGTTATAAGGGTCCCAGAAAAAGAGAGAGAAAGGGCCCGAGAAAAATATTTGAAGAGACAATAGCTGTAAACCTCCCTAACCTGGGAAAGGAAATAATCACCCAAGTCCAGGAAGCAGGGAGAGTCCCATACAGGATCAACCCAAAGAGGAACACACCAAGACACACTGTAATCAAAATGACAAAAATTAAAGAGGGAATACTAAAAGCAGCAAGCGAAAACAACAAATAACATACAAGGGAACTCCCATAAGACTTATCAGTTGATTTTTCAGCAGAAACTTTGCAGGCCAGAAGGGAGTGGCACAATATATCTAAAGTGATGAAAGGGAAAAAGCTACAACCAAAAATACTCTACCCAGCAAGACTCTCATTCAGATTTGATGGAGAAATCAAAAGCTTTACAGACAAGCAAAAGCTAGAAGAATTCAGCACCACCAAACCGTCTTTGCAAGAAATGTTAAAGGAACTTCTCTAGGCAACAAAGAAAAGCCCACAACTAGAATTAAGAAAATTGCAGAATGAAAAAGCAGTAAAGGCAAACATATAGCAAAGGTAGGTAATCATCCACAAACAAAGCTAGTAGGTTAAAAGACAAAAGTAGTAAAAATCATCTATATCCACAATAAGCAGTTAGGGGATACACGAAACAAACAATTAGATGTAAAATATGATATCAAAAACAGTAACCGTGAGGGGAGGAGAGTACAGATACAGGGTATTTAAAATGCGTTTGAAATTAAGAGATCAGCAACTTAAAACAATCACGTATGCATATAGACTGCTATACAAAAACCTCAAGGTAACTGCAAACCAAAAATCTGTAATAGATATAAAAAAGGTGTTTCTGTACTCTTAGCATGGTTTCAAATTATTTTTGAACAATATATATTTAAAAAAAAAAAAGGATAGCTTTATCTAGCACACATGCCAAAAGTAGGCTTGCTTTACTTGTAAGAGACACGGGCAAATTGAAGTGCTCTAGAGTACCTGTGACACACATGGAAATAATGAATGAAAATAGCACTTGAAGCTCAACTAATGCATGCTGAGATGATCTGCATTTTAAAAGAGTCTACAGGCCACCTTATGGACCCACACGACCTACCAGAAGTCTCATTTTGAGGCCCCCTGTGCTAGATTATAGATGCTTCACTTGCAGGAGTACTTATTTGATGGCTGTATTTTAATTCATAGAATGGCATTGTTGATTGAGTACCCTAAGCCAAATAAATGAGCCACTTATGTTAGGCACTTGTTCACATTCATAAAAACAGCAAATAATATTATCTTCATCAAGCCCTTCCTAAGAAATAGTGATTGAATGATATCTGGTGTTTTCTTTGTGTGCAGTTCCTTTCCAAGAGGTGGAGGAAACTGATTTGCTTTTGATGAACCTGTGTTGCCTCCAAACTGATGTCCACAGATTTCCTACTTCATTAATTGTCCCAGCAATTTAGCAAGCAATGATTTATATGAAATATTCCCTCTTGTTGCAGGCTCTACAGTCAGCTAATTGATTGCTGTATGAATTATGCATCCTAAACCAAATGCAAGGGTGCATGAAAGATGCAGCCAAGGTCATTTCCACCAAAGGGAACTACAGTGACTAAATGCCTTTTTAAGACAGGCTTTATTACTTTAATTTTGCTGCTTTCTTCATGTATACATCAAGTCCAGAGTAGTGAGCAAACTCTAAAATCGTACCTTTAATTTATAAAAAGATGCATGCACCCACAGTTCAGTGCTCTGCCTGACAAAGGCGATCACTGAATTAATTTGGTAGCACTAAGGAAAGAACCAGAAATGGCACACAGGTGCTTTTTATCTAATTCCAAAATATGCCAAATCCCATCAAATTTGCCTATAGTTTATTAACATTCAAAAGTGCCTGCTCCCAAAATAAGCACTTTGATTAGATGAAGGCCACGTTGGGACTAAATACAGATGATTTGGCATTTCAGCAGACGATGGACAGTTTTGAAAAGATATTCATACTAAGAGAAGTGAATGATTTATACATTCTAGACGCTGTATAAAGGAGAAGAATGATGCTTTACTAAAGCTTTCAGGATTAAAGAAATCAAATTGGAATAATGAAAAGATCTTCATGTTTGCTGTCTCCGTGGCTTGGTTTGAATTATCACTTAGCCGTTTATTAGTTGAGTGACTTTAGGCGATTTAACCCTTCTGGACTTCAGTTGCCTTCTGCAAAAATGGTCATAATAATACTTTACTTACATAGTTATTATAAAGATAAACATGACTGTAAGAGTCATTAAAATCAATAACTTAACCTTAGACAGTACCTTGTTGCTTATACAACAGAGCATACTACCAGGTATAGTGTTCCTCGAATTACAAGTTGCGTGTGAGGTTTGTAAAGAAAACTTCCAATTTGCTCTTAAAATCACCCCCAGAATGGCCATGAGACCATATCAGTGTATGCCCCCTAAACCAAACAAGCATCTTCTGATGTGAATGTTTCCGTATGCTCAAAGAACTCTTCTCGGGCATTAATCCACATAAAAGTACATGTTTCGGGACAAACTACAGATACCTGAGGCATACCAAATGACACTCAGGCTGTGCTGGATAATGTATGTGCTATGATTTCACATTAGGGGAACAGACACCTCACAAGAGAGGAATCAATCACAAACCCTTCAGACCAGCACTTCACGCTTTAATGCACTTAGCAATCAGCTGCGGGTCTTGTTAAAATGCTGATTGTGGTTCAGCAAGCTTGGGTTGGGGCCTGAGATTCTGTAGTTCTAACAAACTTTCTGATGACGTGATGCATCTTGTCCATGAACCACAATTTGAGTTGCAAGGCTGAGTGCTTTTCAAACCCAGCTGCATGTGAGATTTGCCTGAAGATCTCCTTAAAAATAATGATGCCTGGGCTCTTCCTCAGATTAGCTGAATCTCTGGAATTCAATCCCTGGCTTAGGTACGTTTTTAAAGCTCCCTGAGTGATCTTTATTTGTAGAGCCATGGCTGAGAACCAGTGTTTTAGACGTAAAGGCAAGTACTTCCATCACCTCATATCATGTGATCTTTCTAAAATCATTTATTAGCAAAGCCCAGACTGTGTAACGTAGAGAGCCCAGGACTTGGGCTTCAGAACGCGACAGTAAGTGTAGCAGGGCTTCTGCTTCTCACAAGGGCCTCTAGGAGGGCTCCACCCGTGTTCCACTTCCCTAATCTGGAATAGAGCTGTCAGGATAGCTTTTCACCAGGCCCTGGGACAGGATCAACACCTCATCGCTTCCCAGTAGAAAGTATCACCCCTATCAGTGATTCTGGAGCTTTGACTTGAACCTGGAGTGGAAGGAAATTCCATATAGCATTGAAGGACCATAAGATTCACGGATTATACTTACAGAGTAGAAAATGCACATGATGGGGAAGTTTTGCTGCTATGGAAGATATGGGTTCTACTTCCAACTACCAGTGACCTCATGCCTTTAAAATTAGCACGCATAATATGCTGTCTGTAAGTTAACTCTACTTTCTCTAAGTTCCCACAGTAGGTTTTTCTTCTTGCTTGTTACATTCCCAACATTGTAATATTAATTCAGTACCTGGTTTCTCCGTTTCAGTGGCACCTGCATCTGATCAACTGGAGCCTTTTAAGACCATACTGATGTGCCCATCTACTATAGTTCCTGGTTCAGTAGGTCTGGGGTCAGGACCGAGAAATGGCATTTCTAACAAATTCCTATGAGGTGCTCTTGATATTGGGCCAGGAACTACCCCCTCCCCCATCCTTTGAGAACTACTACTTTATCATTTCATGAGCTTCATGGGAAGAGGTATTGTGCTTTTATATTCTCCATGTACCACCAGTGCCTAGTATGTAGATGGCATGAACAAATATCGTTTGAATAAAAAGTGATCACCAAGCCCCATCTCATTCATAGTGAAAACACTTATGGAACGTTGGACATTTCATCCAGCCTGTTAAGGATAATGCTTTCCAAAGAAACTCAAAAAATAACGTTGACTTAGGGATTTCTGCTACTGTGGAATCTAGAGCATCTGGAGTCACTTTCTATGAAAGCTTTCTTTTTTTTTTTCCTCAGCCACTAAGGTATGGTAATGAAGTCAGCATGACACACAGGTGTGTTGACTGTTCAGGCTTCCATTCAAGGTGCTTTGAAAGCAGAAGCAACAGAATCCCCTCCTGTAGGGCCATCTGCTTTCAATTTTTCAGCTGAACCTCCTGAAGACTCACCAGGTGCTAATTTTGTATATGATTCCACTGGAATTCTATCACTTTTCTTTAGATTTTAATTCCCAAAGGAAGGGAAAGATTCACTGAAGCAGAAAAGCTCCCTGACATAGAGAAGATCGGGAATGATCTCTAGCTGAACAAAGGCCAATTCTACAAATAGTTGACAAATTGTCTGAGTTTTAGTCAACTCAATTTTTAAAGTCACCTCCTGAATGTGTAGGCTTTTGCAATCACTGGATCAGCCATGCAGTCAATCCCATTCAGTCTCAGAAGGAGGAAATAGATTGTTTTTAAACCTATAGTTTTTACTTTCCTAACTCGGGCAGTCGATACTTTGGACAATTTTGAACACAGAAACCATAACTTTATGAAAATCTGCGTGATTTCCTTTTCACATTCAAGTACTTAGAAATCTCTTGCCCTTGTTACTAGAAAAACTAATGTTGGGCAAGTGATTAGAATCTCTTCTAATCCTCATGTTTCCTGAATTCATATTAACAGAAAGGAGAGAGACCGACAACCTGACCTGCAGTCATTCCAAATAAAGTCTGAGCTTCATCTTCACATCTGAGCACTAAATTTAAGAGCAAAACTCATGACAGAGCAGAGAAAAGGGGCACATTTTAGCAGTTAAGCTTTAGGCCGGCTTGATCCGAACTAAATGCTTTGTAATCTCTCTTTAAACAAAAGCTTTAGCTTCTGTAATCCTCCTTTTTATCTGTCCCTATGAAGCCTCCTGAGGTTAAAGCTGCTGTTCATGTAATTTTTTATAAACAGCCTAGATCTTTGCCCACAAATTGCTTTCCAAGGGTGATGGCAGCAGTGTCAACTTAGCTCAAGTGTCATGAGTCATGTTCCCTTCCCTTTGGAGACACCTGCCCAAGCAAAGCCCGAGCATCCTTTGCTTGTATTCTCACTGCACAGATGTCCTGCCACTGAGCATCCATCCAGCCGAGGGCCCTGGCTCAATAAAGCATGGCTGAGAGACTATTGTGTCTATCTGCACCTTCTGTTATTGAAATCCCAAGGAAAACTTCCATTTGTCACATTGAACCATGCCACGTTATACTCTGGCTCCACCCAAAGTCTGGTGTCTTTGATGGCGTTCTTCAGTGCCTGTGAACTTCCACTGCCTTTCCTGAGGGGAAACAGCAAGGAAGCTCAGGCTCCATGATAGACTGATGCCCTAATGAAGCAGCCTAGCCAGGACTGAAATGTCTCACGCTTGCCATTGTGTGGTCACTGTAACTTTCCAACAGGTGTCTTCAACGCTGCTTGTGAAAGCCTGCATGTAGAGACAATGAAAAGCTGAACTTCATAGAAATGCCAAAAAATAAAAATACCTCACTATGCAGAAACATCAGAGAGAGCATACAGCTTTTGCTGCACCTATTATAGTAGGACCATGTGTTCACATGTGAGTATAGACGCACATGCGTGCGCACACACACACACACACACACACACACACAGACTCCTCCACAAGGGAGCAGCTGTCCTATCTTCTCACAAGCCCAAGCTCTAGCTATGTGTGTAAGAGAAACAATCTCTAGATAAATCCTCATAAGATAAAGACCAATTTTGACTTTCCCTTTGACTTAGAAATCTAGGCTCAGACTGCTTGATAAGAAAGTTGCTATAACTGGGAATTTAAAAATAATCCTGGATTCTCAAGAAGTGGCCTAGTTTAATGGAAGGACTATGGGCTTTAGAATTAAACAGACCTGGCTTTAAATCCCTCATATTCCATTTATTAATGGTGCAGCTATGAGCAAGTACCTTAAACTCTCTGAGCTTTGGTTTCCTTAAATGCATAAAGCTTCTTGGAAGCATTAAAGATGATATGTGTGATGTGGCTAGAAGAGAGTAGGGAGCTTCTACCACTGGCCAACTCATTCTTATTGGACAAGATGCGTTACCTTTTGGGGCCCTGGTTTCTTCCTCAAAGAATCAATTCTAGTGCTCCAAGATTCAAAACTTAGTGCTTATACTTTACTTAGGGAGGGAGGATGGATGTAAAGAATCAGGATTTTCTCAACAAAAGCTGATGAATGTCCTTCTCCTTGGTGTTCCTGGGTGGGTGGTGGATGGGCAAAAGTTCGGTCTCCACATATGTACAGGTGTTAATAAAATGGGGCAAGATGATGATACATCCTTAGGGAAGAAAGTGTAAAGCCTCCACTTTCATCTTGTCATCTTGGCTTTCTCTCTCTTTCTCTCTCTCTCCTCCCCTGCTTCTCTCTCTCTATTTCTCTTTCTCTCCCTCTCTCCAAATGAAAATTATGTAATATCTTAGCCTTACCTTTCAAAGGTCATTAACACAAACACACTTATGAAACTATGTATAAGCATATCAGTTATTATTGCTATATCTGTGCAATCACCACTGCAGATACTTGCATCACAACGTCTCCAGCTTTCCTTGGCTAGAAATTATGTTCAACTCTGGACTGTCCTAGCAAGTACTATCTGAAGAAAAGTTAATGTTCCTAAAGTTCTCTACATAGAGGCTACTAGGTAAGAGTATCACACCTTCTTGCATTTGGTGAGTTTTCTAAGAGTTCTCTTTTCTACACCCCGTATTTGATTTCTATTAAGCAATGTCATGTGTCATCCAGGACTGCTACTTACTCCCTACAAAGGGAACTCACGCAGCCAGACTCAGTGTCATCATTTCAAAGATGTGTGCACATACAAGGACTCTCTTGATCCTTTATTTAAAAGGTAGGCAACAAAATTGAGATGGGATTAATCAGTGTGCATAGATGATAGATACTATTTTGAGTTGACTAACTGGCATTTTCCACTTGCTTTTTTCAGGGGATCAATCTATTTTAAAATTGCCTTCAAAAGACATGAACTAGTCTGGCTCCAACACTTGAATTTTCATGCTGTCTCATATTGACTATAGTAACTACAATAACAAACCAACATCCACAGGGTGAAGCTACCCTCTCTTATGCTGGTGAACAGGTGATGAATTCCACTGACCCATTTTTCTTTAATGAAGTAAAGTATGTTTACTCTTTAAAGGTGCCCTCATATTGCCTGAATCCCACTTGTTTTTCAGCTTGGAGGGGCTCTTATAAGTTAGTGATAACTCCCACAGACCAAAGCTTTTATAAATGAATTGCTGAAAGCCATAAGCCCCGACCACAGAGCAAATGCTACAGATAAGATGGAGTGTTACAACTTACACCTAGTCCCAACTTGACTCATCTTTATCGTCATTCTGATTTGTGTTTCTGGATGATGTAATAGTTTTCTCTTGCTGTGTAACAAATGATCACAAATCTAGGAGCTTAAAACAACACGCATTTACTATCTCATAGTTTTAGTTTGGGCACCTCTTTACTGGGTCCTTTGCTTAGGGTCTCACAAGGCTTCAATCAAAATGTCAGCTAGGCTGAGTTCTCAGCTGAAGGCTTTATTGGGAAACCTTTCACTTCCAAACTCACTCTGATGGTTGGCAGAATTCATTTCTTTGTGGTTGTAGGGCTGAGAGCGCCGACTTCTTACTGGTTAGAGGCTGGAGGCTGCCCTCAGCTCCTACAAACTTCCTGCAGTTCCTCGCCATGTGGACTTCCCAACATGGCCGCTCATTTTAGCAAGGCAAGTCTCTAGAGTAGGTCTGCTACCAAGTCATAGTCTTATTACATGTGAATGTTATTGCATTAACAGTGTAATCATGGGGGTGACATCCTTTACTTTTGCCATATTCTATTGGTTAGAAGTAAGTCACAGGTCCCACCCACACACAAGAGAAGGGATTATACAAGAGCATAAATACCAGGAGACAGGAAGCATGGCAGGGTGAACCCACCTTAGAATCTGTCGAACACAACAGGTAAAGAAGGCAAAATATTGGGAATGGACTAAAGGAGCATTCAGGGGCAACCCACATGCTTCAAGAAGGTAAGATTCAAGGCAGAGATGGAAATGAAAGTGTGGCCAGCCCAGGAGGACTAACATTTGACACATTTCTAAGCTCATGTTTTAAAAACATTTACTCCGTGTTTATAGAGAGAAGAAATAAAGAGCTGTGAGGAGAGGAAAGAGGTAAAAGAATGTCGAAGACAGCAGTCTAGTTTGGAAACTCACTCATTAACATCAATTCTTGCGTTTAACTGCCAGAACCTTCTTTAGAAGGTGGTCTCCTGACCGTCTGTTGTCACTCGGTTATGCTCTCCATGCCTTCTCATCCCCCAACAGACATGACAATATTTCTTTAACTACAAGTAATAGTCACCTTAAGATGAATTTTGGTAAATTCAATTTCCTGTAACTCTCTTCAATTTCCTGTAATTCCCAATGATATTATGTCAGAGTCTAACAGATCAGCTCCTAAGTAAAAGACCGTACTCTTAACTGAGCTATGCTTTTATGCTTTAAACTTGGCAATGCAAAGAACCAGGGTGGGTAGTAGCCTCGACTGCTATTAGGTTTTTTGCAAATACTACCTGGAATGGCTTCTAACAATACAGGTGTCTCTTTCTAATTCCTTGATTTAGGATTCTGGAGACCACATTTTGGTAGAATTCAGGGTTGGGGAATTTACCAGCCTTTATGGAAATTAGGGTGGGACATTAACATTATGCAAGTGAAACTATAGAAGGACTTATAAATATTTTCATATTCTTTGAAACAAAACAATACAGATGAAACAACAAAGAGAATACCCATTATGGTATATTATGATCAAGCTACTTAAATTAGTTTAAAAAAAAAAAGTACAGAAAAAGAAACATACAATCTTTCACTTACTATCACTTTCTCACAGGGTACTTTTTGGAAGTCAGCACTTTGGGCAACAGAGCTTCTGAGGTAAGGGCCCTACATAAGGGGAGCCTCTGGGCCTTCCCATGCCCAATAAGTAGTTTTACCACCACTTGTGCTACCTACCTGGGCTCTGTATGCACTGAACGGTAACCTAGGTTTCGTACCTCATTTAATTACGTTAGTGCTTTCTCTCCTTTAGGAGAGACCCATGAGGAAAACAAACAAACAAATAAAAAACACCTCCTGGCCAAAACTTTGTCTTTTATTTTTAATTTCTGAATCCCCTGTTTCCCTTATTTCTAGATATCACCAAAAGAATTACTTCAAAACTCACTGAAATTAAAATATTCATTGTTCCCCAAAAGCTATCCAAAGAAACCTTCATGAACTAAAGCAGAGCTTAAAGTAAGGGTGTTTGTGGTGGAGGAATTCCTATACTCCCAAACCAGCCCCAGCCTCTACCTTCTCAACAAGGAGGCACTAGCTTAGGTCAGGCCCTCTCCTCACAGCCCAGTCTGGGGCCATTCTCAAGTTCAGCTGTTTGTTCTCACACCAGTCTCAAGCCAGGTTGCCATATTTACTCCTCCCATGTATGGAGATCGGGGCAAGGCTTCAGGGTTCATCTTCAGTCCCTGGGACTCTCTTCCTCTGCTCCAGTAGTTCTCACCCCTGGCTGTGTAACAGAATCTCCTGGGAGATTTAAATGGAAAAACAAATTCCAATGTCCAGATCCCAAGCACGCTCATTTACTTGGTCCAGGTTGGAGCACGGTCACTGGAATGTTTAAAGAGGTCCCCAGGTGAGTCTCATGTGCAGCAGGATTACACTTAGTTCCACTCAACTTGAATCATCACATTCCATTTCATAATTTAATTACATTTCCCATATATTTATGTCTAAATGTCTCAGCTTTGAATGAAAAAAGTCTATTGTTCCTCCAGTTGCGGTTCTTTCTTTGCTCATCTAGTCAAGAAGTCCTTATCTTTAAAATATAAAACAGACTCTAGTTGTCTTGAGCTTATAAGAAAGGAGGAAGAGTGCCACTTTGGGGCATGGGGTTGAGAACATCCCTGTTTAACAGTTACCACGTGCAAAGAATATCAAAGTCTTGGTTTCTGGCAGAATAGGAGTTAACCATGTGCTGGGATTTGAGGGGTTCTTCGCATGGCTTTTGATTTAAATATCTGTTTTACTCTTGGTGCCACATTAACCGAACTTCTGCCATTAGAAATTCACTTACGTGGATTGAGCTTTCACCTTTTCAGGAGTTTTTCATTAGTTATGAATAATCCTAGGAGGATTCATTAAGACCTTTGTGTGAAATAGCTCATGGGGTCACTGTTGCTTGTGACAAAAGGAGGCACATAATTACCTTTTGTAGTAGCCTTTAGTCTGCTTCCTTCTCTAGGCTGTACTCTCCATAAAGGCAGGGCTGTGCCTCTATTACTTCCTAGCACCTAGCTCAGTATCTGGCACAAAGCAGATTCACGGTAAATATTTTTTTGAATGAATGAACGGTCGATGAATAAAAGAATGAATGAATAAACACACTTGAGCAAAGCAGTGGCCATTATTAGTCATGAATCCTGGAAGAAGGAAAAGAAACAAAAACAGAGAAAAAAATAGAATTCTTAGAGGAAAAACATTACCATGTCATAGTTTTCTTGGAGGTTTGAGGCTTTGCACACATCACAGAGAAAGTGAATTAAAGACAACTCACTAATAGTTCCATTTTGAGGCTGTTGACTTCTTTGCTGGAATTTCCCCCTCATCTTTCTTCTTCAATAACAATAATAAGAACAATGAGAGCTACCATTTATTAAGCTTTTACTGAGAACCAGACATCATACTAATTGTTTCAGTGTTTTTACTGATCCTCCCAATAACTCTTTGAAGTGGGTATTTTCATTACCAATTTACAGATGAGGAAACCTAAGCTTACAGAGGATGTAAATTGTAAATGTAATGTAAATGTAAATTGTGACAATCAGATGGCAGACATGGGATTTGAGCCACAATCTGTCTGATGCCATGTGGTTTCATTGGCTCCTGGTGTGCCTCCTTCCATCTGTTTGCCCTGCCCCAGCACACACTCTCTCTCCTCTGTTCTCTTTCATGTGGCCACATATAAACATTGGGGATGAGGATGCAGTTGACCTGGTCTGAATGTATGGTGGCATAGAGAGGTTTGAGTTAAGAGGATGAAAGCAATACTCCAACAATAAGCATCAGCGCAGCTTCTGGAATTAAACATAAAACCCACAAACTTTCTCAGGCGCCAATATGCAGAGGAAAATATGGTGAGATCTTAATATATTTTGTTCCTCAAGGAGACAAAGTTTTTCTTCCTATCAAACTTGGGAAGAGATTTCCTGCATTGAAAAGGGGACATATATGGTCTAAAAGTAAAAATTCTCAGCCCCTATGTCACATCAAATGCAGAAGAATCGTATGACAGTGCTTACAGAGACCTTTGATAACAAAGTGCAATTTAGTAACTCTGATTCAGATGGTAGGGTGTACATCAGGGTGGTCTCGTATGGTAGCACTTGCTGAGGAAAGAAAAAGCACAAGTAAGCCTCTGTGAACAAAGCTTGCTTGAAAGTCCATGGAGAAAGTGGAGTATGAGGGTCCAAATACTTAGAATATAGAGTACACACTTTTAATATGATCATCTCTAAACATCACTTTGTACAATTAGATTTCGTAAAGAAGAGGTGTCTCTTAGATGAAGATTTTATTTTCTGTTCAGTGACTGGAGGGGTAGTATTCTGGGGCCCAGATTCTGGAGATTTTCTTTTTTTTTATATATAAATTTATTTATTTTATTTATTTATTTTTGGCTGTGTTGGGTCTTCATTGCTGCGCATGGGCTTTCTCTAGTTGCAGTGAGCGGGGGCTACTCTTCGTTGCAGTGCACGGGCTTCTCATTGCAGTGGCTTCTTTTGTTGCAGAGCACGGGTTCTAGGCGTGTGGGCTTCAGTAGTCGTGGCACATGGGCTCAGTAGTCGTGGCACACGGGCTTAATTGCTCTGTGGCATGTGGGGATCTTCCCCGACCAGGGCTCGAACCCGCGTCCCCTGCATTGGCAGGTGGATTCTCAACCACTGCGCCACCAGGGAAGCCCTGGAGATTTTCTGAAGTTTTGCAAACCACATAAGTACTTGCTGAAGTAACGTTCTCTTGTGGCTTAAACAATTTTAACCAACATTTTTACACAGATGGGAAGATCAAGCCCCTTCTCAGGACGAGGCCCTGCCTGGATGGAGTACCTGCAAGACAGAGCAAGTATTTCATCTTAGAGAGTACTTAGGAGAAAGACCCCATTTCACTTTACTGAGGTGGGCAATATAAGTCTGGAAAGTTCTCAGAAGTAGTATTCTACCTGCTCTTTCTGTTGACCATGCTTATCCTCACACAAGGACCCAGGCGGATGGATTCACCACTGCCTGATCATACCAGTCCCTGTGGCAGTGGGAAGAGTATACTCAGGAGGGTCTCGTAACAGCAATTACGTGCTCCAACTCGATGCAGCTGTAATTTTTGCTTACACCCTACTGGCCACAACAAGCCGTGGGAGCCACGCACCCACCAAAAGGCATACCTTCGAGGTCAGAGGGCGCTGCGAGCTCAGCGCTGAGTCCTTCACCAGCTGTCCCGCATCGCGCTCACGCACCACGTGCAGAAGCGCTGGAGGCCCCACCGAGTGTTCAGCCCGCAGTACTTCTGCCGCCAGGCCACCGCCTCCCGCATCCCTGCGCACCGCCTCGACCAGCTCCCGCGGCCCGCCGCCGTCAAAAGCCTCGCCGACTCCTTCTCCGTGGCCAGCGGCGTTCATGACGCACGGGCGCGCCTACTCGCGGGCCAGTGGGAACGGGGACGGCGGCAGCAAGGGCGGCAGCCTCCAGAACGTCCGAGCCGACCCGCCCCCGCCCCGAGCACGCCTTATCCCCGCCCCCCATCCAGTCCACACTCCCTTCCAGAGGGCTCGCGCTGGGGGACTGCTCCCGGCCCGGCGCTGAGGCCGGCTCTGGTTGCGGGGAAGACTTTGGCCACAGAGGCCCTCCTGCGAAGCGTGGGGACGCACCTCGGTGGCCGCAGCCAGAGTGATGTCCACGGAAGGACAGTGGGCCGCGTGGGGTGCTGCGGCGGTCTTGGCAGGACAAGGGCGGACCCCGTGGTGCGTGAAAAGCCGTCCGGGGGTGCTCTGCCTGTTCCGAGCCCCCGGCCTCTCGGGAGCCGTCCCTGGGTAGCTGAGAGGCCTGGCTCCCTTTTAATTTGTAACAGAAGACTTTTCACCCCGTTGGTGCACTTCTCTGGGGCCGTCCGGGTAAGCCTCCAGACGGCCAAGCGGTGAGCCGACATCAACTGTGGGGAGGAACTTGATACCTTTGGAGAGGGAGGGAGTTTAAGGCAAAGATGGGAGAGAATTCGCCTTCAGAGTTGACTCTTTCACCGTGTTTGTTTTGTTTTGTTTTAATTGTATCTCATTTTAAGCTTAAGCACACACAATGTCGGTGATGGATTGGGAACGAGAAGTTTCAAGGCTGAGTGCTAAGTTTTGGCCTGCGCACCTGAGTGAATTAAGCTGTTTATTGCTAAGTAGAATATTAGTGGTAACAGCTGGGTTAGAGACGGTGCTGAGAATCGAGAGGTTTCCTTTTTTTTTGACATGTTAATTGTCAATGCCTAGGTTTACCAGACTGAAGCCCAGGGGAAAGATTTAGGAGTCATCACCTTAGAGATGATGTGTATCACCGTGAAATCACCACGAGACCTTCTAAGAAGTGGGTTTCGTAGAGAACTTGAGACGTCAAAGGACTGAACCCTTGAGTAATGTGAGTAAACGGTGTGTTTTATTATTTTTTAATCTTGGAGACTAACAATGCATTGGTATTATGATGGGAAATTGGTGAAGCAGGGAAGATGTGGAGTGACTGCAGGAGCAAATTCCCCAAGAGGGAGAGAGGAATTAGGACACAGTGAACGCAGACTCACTTTAAAAAGCGTAAAGTACTAATTCAGGGAAGTTCTATTAGTAAACTGTGTCCTCTAGAAAGAAAAACTCAGTTCTGACTTTAAATTGTCAATGATAAACGCTGAGGGGAAAAAACCCCATAGAAGTGCATTAAAAACTCTGAGCGACGACTTAAGCTTTCTACAGCTTGAGAGGCATAGCACCAACACAATATAATTTGGATTAGGAGGTCCAGCTGATTTAGTGAACCTAAAATCACACCAAAAGAGTGCAGACTTCATTGGTAATGTTCTTGTAAGGTTCTCCTGCCTGCTTCAAATTAAAAACTCTCCCAAGACTTCCTTCAGTTACAAAACAAAAAAATATGCTCTCATCAATATGCATAATTTTACATATTATATTCTGTACTGTATTATAGTATGAAGATGATCAGCTTGTCTCTTGGAAAGTTGTGGTAACCACATTTTAGTAGTGCTGTCCTGGGGTTTCGACAGACCCCCTCTGGTTCCTGGGCTATTTCTCTCCTCCCACATAGCTACAGTTCTATACAAATGGGACTGTACTCACCCTCCAGACCCCGTTTCACTCTCGACCCTACTGCTCTATGGTATCAGCCTTTACTACTTCTGAAAATGTTGTTATTCCAGTGTCAGTAATGACCACTGCATTCATCTGGTAAGGCTGTCATAGCAAAATGCCACAGGCTGGGTGGCTCAAACAACAGAAATTTATTTCTCACAGTTCTGGAGGCTGGAAGTCCAAGATCAAAGTGTCAGCAGGGTTGGTTTCTCCTGAGGCCTCTCTCCTTGGCTTGAGGATGGCTGCCTTCTCTCTGTGTCCTTACGTGGCTTTTCCTCTGTAAGGTTGCAACCTTGGTGTCTCTCTCTCTTTTTACGGGGACACCAGTCCTATTGAATTAGCTCCCCCCTCCCACGAGCTTATTTAACCTAGGTTACCTCTGTAAAGGTCCTTTCTCCAAATACAGTCACGTTAGGGGTTAGGCCTTTGATGCATGAATCTTAGGGCCACAGCATTTCGTAGCAACTATCTTTCTAGTAAACTTGATGGCAATTCTGGCTTTACTTGAATAATGTGGTTTACTTCATGCTTTTGACAGTTCCCTCCTTAAAAAGATTTTTGCTTAATCTCCCTTATTTCCCATGACACTACTCTTTCTTGTTTCTGCCTACTGCATTTATTTTATTGGCCACTCCTACCTTACTTTCCATCCAAATTCTTCTTCCCACATCTTCCCCTAATTGTTCTTAATCTCTAGGCTTTGTCCTGAGCCCTCTTCTTACCTCACTTAAAATGATTTCACTAAGGGGTATTAATCATGCCATAGCTCAAACATGATATGCTTACTACTGACACATCCTTTTACAACTCTAGTCCAGACCCTCTCTTGAGGTTTGGAATCATCTGTGTTCACTTTCTATTGAACATCCTGGAATTTATTGAACATCTCTGACTAAGATAGATGCATGAGCTCAAAAAGCAATTGGCACTCAATACATATTTGTTGAGCTCATTCAGAACACTCGTTCATTCAGAAATATTTGTTGATCACCTACTAAACAGCAGACACTGTTGTAGGTGGTTGCAATACATCAGCGAACAGAAGAGACCAAGGTCCTTGTCTGCAAGGAGATTCCATCATAGCAGATTGCTGGCAATGACAAATGAATGCTAAATAAATTTTACAGTATGATGGATGATGTTAAGTACTTAGATTAAAGAAAAAGTAGACCAGGGTAGGAGGGATCAGGGATGGGTCAAGGGGCGGGTTGAAGGATTAAATTAGGTGGTCAGGTGAACCTCATTGAAAAAGAGCGATTTAAACAGAGGTTTGAAGAAGGTGAGTGAATAAATACAGTTTACGAAAGGCATCTCAAATATAATACATCCAAAACTCCACTGAACAAGTCTCTTCCCTAGAATTCTCAGTGTGGTTGCCATTCATCCTTCTACTAGAGTGATCATATAAATCTGTCTGCCAAACTAGGACACAATGGAGAATAAAGGATGGTTCTACAGGCATTAACCAGCACATCCCCAGACAAACTTGGGTGTATGGATGTATGGATGCCTAGCTGTCACCCCAGGCAGAAACATATGTCATTCTTGCCTTCTCTCACTCCCTCGTCCCTCCCTTCCCCTTTATCTTCTCCGAGTAGATGACCAAGTTCTTTTGATATTACCCAGAATATATCTCTTCTATTTCTAATACTGCTGTCTTAATTCCAGATATCTCAGGATCTCTGACTAGCATAGAGACAGGAGCTCAAAAATGTTCTAACTCTGAGTCTGTTCCTCCTCAAATCCCTTCCCTAGATCTCAGACGGACTCTTCCTGAACACTCTAATCCCGACACTCTCATTTAAAAAATGAGGAGTGAGGGAGTTCCATGCCAGCCCACCCAGTGGTTAGGACTCCACACTTTCACTGCCGAGGGCGTGGCTTTAATCCCTGGTCGGAGAACTAGGATCCCTGCAAACCGCATGGCGTGGCCAAAAACAAAGTGAAAGGTTTGGGTAGAAAGCACGTAAAGCACATACAGAGGCTGACAAGGCCCTTGCTGGTCCCAGGCCCCCTCCTCTGTTGTGTGTCTCCTACTCATGACTTGTATGTAGGCCAGCCCTGCCTGAGTGCCTGTTACAATCTAGCCCTGCCAAATGCCTTCCCTGAAAGGTAAGAACATGGGGGTATCAAGCAGTTTACCTTCAAAACCCACAGTTTCTGTAATTTTAAGTCTAAAACTCGGTGTCTCACAAAGATTAAATGCCCATTATTGCCCTTAAGATGTGGGGGATTAAAAATATATCAGATCTCTCTCTAGTTCCTATTTCAGCTCAGATGAATCCAATTAGGTTTCACTGCAAACTATGAAATACGCTAGGCCTATTTCCTCTTTAAATTGATTATAAATGTTGATGCTCTTCAGTATAAGTGCAAATTAATCTAGGGAATTCCATGAAATTTTATTTCTTAATTAAGCAGTTTAGACTAAATTACTTAACTGCAGTGACTACTCTGGCTCCTAAGGTTGTTCAAGGTCAGACACATGTCATCAAATGTAACACAATGATTTTCCACTTGGCACAGGCTTTTTCGTCAAACTTGTTTCATTGCTTTGGGCTGGAGAGGAGAGGTTGCAGTCTTGAGCCGGGTGATCTGTAGAGACTGGGACCAGGATTATATGAGGCAACACCAGGTGATGACACTCAGGCCAATTGAAGGAGTTTCTGGAAAATAGAAACGTGGCTTCCATTAAACTAAGAAAAGAACTGGGGCCTTAGACGGTCCAGAAATGAAACTTTCTACTGATATACATCTGGCAATGCTTCAGTGAGCGCAATCCATTTGGTCAGCCAGATGGACCAGTCCTGGCAGCTTTTCAGTCTCATGCACAAAGCACTTCAGCCTGGGGAAGAAAAAAAAATCCCCAAACAAAAATATAAATAGAGAAGACCCTAGCATTGTGGCTAAACAATAGGGAAGACTCTTATAAATGAGGTTTCCACAGCACTGTGCATTTCAGACATGACAGCTGTTACCTTTTTTCTTTCTTGATTTTTAATAGCTTATTTATCATGGGTGAAGGATGCGATTACTTATCGGAGGCTCCATGCTTTTGGCAGAAAACCTTTACAATGCTCAGTTACTCTCTCCTGGAGGAAAGAAGGCAATTTCCAGCCTCTTTCTGAGAAAATATACTAAATAATGCCAACAAAGAACAGTGATAAGACTCTAAATTGAAAAAGATCTTTTGAAAATGCAAACTTCAATATCATGGACTATCAAAGGAACTCCGGCTAAAAGGATGGGCTCACCAAAGAGATTCTCTTTTTCTCATTTAGGAAGCCTTACTCTTTTCTCACTTTCTAACACCATGAATCTAATTCAAGTTCGCCATTAGCTTGAATGAGAAATATCTTCTGTCACTCAAACTATGTGTCTGCGCTGAAGTTCATTGATCATCCTTCAGCTGAACTGCCATGGCTACTCAATAACCATGGCCCATTTCCTACTCCTGAAGTCAAATGCTTAGATGTGACGGCATGCCGTGCACTGAGGAGTCTATGTATGTTTCCTCCTTCCTCACCCAGAGTTTGCTGAGAGAATAGAGACATAGAAATCCATTCTAAGCAGCCATCCCAATTTATGCCATTTGTAATTATGGACTTCTGAAGTTACTCTTAAGAATTATTTTAACTCACTAATCAATAGGTTACTTGGGAGGAGTTAGAGAGTGTAAAGTAAATGAAGAATGTTAATGTCTTTTACTTAACTTTTTATCAAATACGTTTCTTTTTGTCTTTAGATAAATACATCCTGCTAAAACTTAAAATACAGTCCTCCCTTCCCTCTCTCTTTCCCCCTCTTCTTTCTAGCAAAGATTTACTTAGCTCTCACTCTGTGCCAGGTAACACACTGAGGGATCTCTGTGGATTATCAAGAAAATAAAGCATTTTTGGTGAATTCCAGATTTATACACGAGCTGCCTACGTTAGCTAATCTTCAAGTTTCCTCCGTTATTTGCATGTTGATGAGATGTCAAGTTCCAGATCAAATATCACGAATAAAAGTTCCCAGGTGGAGTATCCCATTTTACATTTTGGTTTTAGTGGGGGTTTTTTTTGTGGTGTTTGGGTGTTTTTTGTGGTGTTCTGGCTTGTTTAGAGGACTAGATTCCTTAACCCAATCTCAACTCTTCATTCAAAAATATTGGGAATTTTCTTTCTTTATTTCAAGTGAAGAGTAATATGATTTTCTGTCCATTTATACCAGCTACTTTTCAGAATCAGTCCATTCTTTCATGTTTTTCTATCACTTCTGCATCCAGTCCTTTGCCACGAC